GAGAACAATTTGGAGATTCCTCAAAAATCTACAAATAGAACTACCATATGATCCAGCAGTCCCATTCCTTGGTATCTACCCAAAGGACAGAATACTTAATCAGAAAAGTGCTTGCGCATGGATGTTTATTGTGGCACTATTCACAATTGCTAAGTCATGGAAACAACCCAAATATCCATGAACAGATGGATAGAAAAACTGTGGCACATATACTCAATGGAATATTATTTAGCCATAAAAACAACAACAGAACCATGGCTTTTGAAAGGAAGTGGATGAATATGGAAGATTTACTGCTGAGTGAAGCAAGCTAGGCTATGAAGGAAAGGCATTGTATGTCCCCACTTAATATATACTGTGTCCACACTCTGTGACTGAAACTAATTGACTAAAGGATATAGAAACACAGTATATAGTTGTAAATACCAGATATAGTGTGTGTGAAAGATGAGGGTCTGAGGAAAGACATTTAGAAAAAAAATAGGGAGGCAAAGCATTAATGACACAAAGAAATGTGGTATTAACTGTTGAAGATATTTTGCAGTTTTATCAGCTGTACTAGGGAGAAATGTTCGCCTGTGGAAATATCCATTTTGTAAGCCAAATAATGATGTGATTGAATGTATAAAAGAAAATGAATTAAAAAAATAAAAGAATAAAAAAATTATACATATTACATATGACATACCTGGTACCTTAAAATCAGAGGATTGCACAGTCTAGATGATAGCACAGTACTAAAACTGACTCCCTACAATGATGATCCACATGGAAAGGATTCAGGCTCCTGTCCAGAAACTTCCCTGAGTACATACACAGGGCATGTGCCTGCCCATTATCTGGGGCTAGTTGAGGTCAAGGGTGGATTACTGCATCAGAACTCTGTTGGGAGTTTCTCTCTCTCTCTCTCTCTCTCTCTCTCTCTGTCTGTCTTGCTCATGAAAGAAAGAAAGTTTAAAAAAATACAAAAAACACATAGGGCCAGCACGTGGCATGGAGGTTAAGGCTCTGGATCCCACATGGCTGACTCAGCAGTTCAAGTCTCAGACCCACAGGCATGAAAAATACACTGGGTGCATGTGTGTGCATGCCCCACATCCCAAGAGAATAGAGAAGAAGGGACCAGGACTACGGCATGGTCATTCCCTGTTGGGTGGTGGTGGTGGGGGGTGTGCAGGGGGGGCGGTGGTTTCTCACTTTTTCTCTCTCTTCTGTCACTGGCAAGCATATGTACCCTATAGAAAACATAGATAAATTAAACTAAATTAAGAAAACAAGCAAATAAGCAATCTGGAGGTTTACTCAATAGTCCTGCAGAGTTCATATTTCTAGAGCAGGTAAATATTGAGAGGTTACAGATGTAAGAAAATACCAAGAACAACAACAACAACAACAAAATCCACTTGATTGGAACTTTTTTAGGGTTTTTACATAAACTCCTATGAGGAGAAAAGCTATCCAATTAAATCTCTGAGCATATGCTGTCTCCCCAACCACTTATTTCTCTAAGCTACCATTTCCTCATTAGTACAAGAATCTGGAGTAGTCAGACCTACCCATCCCACAGTTTCATGAGAATAAAGGCAATAATGTGCATGAAAGGATTTGTTAATATAAATGTCCAGAAATGTAAGAATTATATTCCTGGAAATTTCCCTTATACTTTTAAGTTGCTGAGAAAGAAAGATAAGTCTGCCAGGAAACAGACCTTTCCAAAATGAGTGAGTGTCAGTTTTACCCATCCAATTTGTACCAATCTCCCATCAACTCCACTCCATCAATCTCAAATCTGTCAGAATTTCACCCAATGCACTCCATATAATGTACCCTGAACTCTTTGAACACCCTAAGTAGTATATACATGGACCCCTATGCCTGTTTTCAGGATTGGCTAATGAGCCCTATGCACAGGAAAACATTAAGAATTGAATAAAAATCTAAACTATTGCTACAATTTGTAAAAGAGCTAAAAGTTCAGAAATGCAATATCTGTTTGCATAATGGATCTGCATTTGAGAGAATGTCAATGTAAACCCTTTCAGATTTTTTCTGTGATGCCATTTATAAAGTCCAATAGATAGTATCAGGTTGTCCATTCTTCCTTAAGGGTACTGAGTACATAAGACTTAGAAAGTACTACTTGGGTATGGCTAGGTAAGTATCAGCTTATGGTCTAAAAACTGTTTTGCCTGAATAAAACATGCAATTTTATAGAAATGGCAGTTACTCACTGAAAGAGGACATAAAATAATTACATAAGGAGCAAGACTTAAAAGAAACAGAATTCCCAGTGCACAAGCATATTTCCTCTCACTTTAAATTTTAGTAGTAATCATTTAGTTTCTTACATTTTTTTGTAAATCTATTGTTTTTTTCCCTTAATATTGAAGTTCTGTAAGACACCACTCTTGTATATCCATAGTGCTTCTGAGCTTTAAAGAAAAAACAATATGAAAATGTTCCTCTTTTCAAACAGGAAAATGTTTAGTTAATTGCCTTACAGATAGGATGACATTTTTATCATCTCAATTCCATTAATGAACTCTGTCACTAGTATTCTGTGACAGCAATGTAAAATCCACAAAGAAAAAACAATGTTTTTTTATATTTAATATGATATAAACCCACTAATGTTCAGGCATTTTGCTTGGTGCTTAGAATGCAAATGTATATTTGCCCCCATCTCCAAGTTGTTAACCTTTGCACTCAATGTAGCTCAAACTAAAAAGAATTCATCTCTAAATTTGTCACAACATACTTCTTTGTCCCTAGAAATAGCTTTTTTTTAGAGGTTTTCTGCCATAGGACAAGAATACTCACCAAAAAGAATAACAGAGACAGTGAAAGGGAAAATGAGAAATCACCCTTCCACCCCCAAGGGTGGCCATTAAACAATCCCTTCTCCTCCATTATCCTCCTGAAATCTTGGGCATGCATGCACATGTGTCTGGCTTGATTTTCAAACTACCAGATCTGGGACTCTAACCACTGATGGTCATGTGGGACTCCAGCAACATAACCACTATACCATCTGCTGACCCCCCAAATAGCCTCTTCTTAAACATGGATGTTTCAGGAATCCCTTATCTATATTCTTATTCCTCTAATATTTATTTGTTACTCAGTAGTATCGTGAATGCTCTCCACACAGAATCACTTAAAATTATCCATTAAATATATTTTTCAATTTCTTTATTTAATTCCTAAAAAACAGCTAAGTTGTCTTTTACTTAGAGATCAGGCTTTTGTGTCTTGGCACTTGAAAGTACATCTTAAACAGATTTACTTATAATAATTACAAAGTAAAAATGCACTAATGCAGTTATATTTATGTAGCACACATTTTGTCCTAAGCACTTTAAGGATATTAACACATTTAGTTTCTATATAACCATAGAAAGAAGCCCTATCATTATCTCCATTTTCCAGATGAAATAACTGAGGCATGAAGAAGCTCACCCATAGCTATTCAGAGAGTAAATGTCACAGCTGAGGTTTGTAACCTAGCAATCTGCCTCCATATTATATTCCAGGCTCTATACCAATCAAAAAGAGTCCCATGACATTAAGGACTTATAATCTTGATTAGAAAGGCAGAGAAAAAGGCCTCACTAAAATCTGTTCAGGAATGTAGTTATCTTGCTTATGTGGAGTTAAAGCTAATACCTTTATGGTTTTCAATGATACTGATTTGGTAGGAGTGGAGGGAACACTCATCTGTTTATGAGCCAATTTCTACAATGAAAGCTTTAGTGTACTGTGTGCTTAATTACTTAGCAACCTTGTTCAATTTTCTATAGCACATGTAATGATGTTCACAACTGTGTGGATTAGTTAAGCAGCTACTGACAAGGATGAACAGGAACACCACAGTCATTTTTCTGACATAGATCAAGATGATTTTTAGGGTTAGAATGTGTTGTTTTATTCGCTTAGAACTATAAAGGGTATGTTAGTTAGAAGTGACAGAAACCCAAACATGAAGAAATTTAAGAAAAAGGAGAGAATTCATTGGAGGATTATTTTCCCAGTGGATGCAGGCTTGGGAATAAAATGGAACCAGAGGTGCCAGTGCCACCAAGATTTGGTCTTTCCC